TTTCCCCACATCCTCCCCCACCCTTAGGATTTTGTCTTTTTCATTTTAGCTATTCTGGTAAGCATACAGTTAGAAGTGTATTTTTAAAATTATTTTTAAATGTTTATTTTTTGTCCACTACTTTTTAGTGGTGATTTCTAGTTTAGTTGTATTGGGAATAGAGAACACAGTCTACAGGGCAGATTATTATCTTCTGTGACCTGCTCTCTGACCTTGAGCACATGGCAGCTTCCCTAAATATTCCGTACGTGCTAGAGAAGAAAGTGTTCTCTAGATGCTCCATGTCTAGTTCTGTATGTGTTGGTTAGATCCGAGCTTGTTAATTTTGGTGTTTATATTGTATCCTTACTATTTTTTTTCATATATTTTATCCATTACTTAGAATTTTATGTTAAATATCTCCTATTCTAATTAGTGGATTTAATTTCTCTTTGTATATCTTTTAATTTGTGCTTCTTATATATTTGAAGCTTGTGTTTTTAGATGCATAGAAGTATTATTTTATGTCTGTCTTTAAATTGCTTTTCCCCCCCAAAGAATATTATGTCTGATATTCATGTCATTACTTTCTTTTTATTATAACTTTTTATTATATCTCTGGTGCATAAAATTGAATTAAAAATTCTCTTTAGCTCATGCAGACCCTGATGATTGGTTCATGCATGTGTCACTTTTACCCATTTCTTTGCTTAGTTGTAGATAATGTAATAAGTATCCATGAAGCCTCCTCCTAAAATCAAAGATAGGACCTAAACAATAATCCTCATGAAACCATTTGATCCCCTGCCAGCCCATAGTTCTGAATCTGTAATGTTCATTCCTGGCATTGTTTTTTGTATAATTTTATTGCATGTGTGTATTCCTTAAAAAACATTTAACTTTCATTGTTTTTATAGATGGGGGATCATACTGTATAGAATTTTAGGAGCTTCTTTTTCCACTTAATATAAGTGTGTTAAGACTCCTCTGTATTTTGCATGTGCACATCACCGCATTTCTCTCATTTCGACTGTTGCTTGATACTCATCCACTCGCCTGTTGGGCATGCAGGTTATTACCCTGCGTTTGCTCCTGTGAAAGTGCTGTTGTTGCTCTCCGCACACAGCTCTCCTTTGGTACCTATGTAGGGGACCTGGTCTGTGGAGGTTCAATATAGAAAGATGATGCTGAAGTGCCTTCCTAATTGGTTTTACCAATTCACATGCACATTGAGCCCTGTGGATGAATTTCCTCTCCAACATTTGGTGTTTTCAGACTTTTTAAGTTTGTAAATGAAAAGGTAAAACGGTGGCTCTTTGTGGTTGTTATTTGCATTTCTCATCACCAGTGAAGGTTTGACATCTTTTCTTGGCCACATGTATTTACTCACTTGGGAAAGCCTATTTATTATATTTTTGAGCATATTTCTATGGAGTTTAATGTGTTTTTGTTACTGAATTTGGGAGATATTTATGTATTCTTATTATTAATGTTCTGCAGTGATGTGTGTTACAAAATACCTGTTTCTGGCTTTTAAATAGTTTTTGTATTTTTGAAAGTATCTATTAATTAGCAGCAGTTTTTCATTTTAATATAGCCAAATTGATTACTCATCTATAATTAATAATTCTTTATATTTAATGCTTTTTTACTTAGTTAAGAAATATTTTACCCCAAAGAATGAAAGGTAATCACCTATATTCTCTACTTAGAGTTTAAAAACACTTTTAATTCTTTATACCATCTAGAGTTATTTTTAAATATTAAAAGGTAGAGACCCAATTTCATTTTGTTTTTGTAGAGACAGCCACTTTTTTCAGCTCAGTCCATACTGACGTGAGATCTGACATACCATCTCTGTTACGTTCCACATTTCCATATATGTGGGGGTACCCAAAAATGGGATTTATTTGTAAAGAATCGTGTATTTATTCTTACATGTTTAAACTTCAGTCACCTTCAAAGTACTCTCCATTTGATTCAATACACCTAGCAAGATGTTTTTTTTCCACAGCTCAAGACAGTTTTTGAACTCATTGATTTTGGTGCCTTTTAGTGCTTCTGCCATTTTTTGTTTCACCTCTCCCACATTAGCAGAATGTTTCCCCTTGAAGACTTTTTTTTCATGTGGGGAAACAGAAAAAGTCACTCAGGAGCAAGATCAGGTGAATAGGGAGGGTGGAGCATCAGGGTCAGGCAGTTTGGGGTTAAAAACTGCTCAACACTCAGCACAATGTGGGCAGGTGCGCTCATAAAATCACCCATCAGGAAATGGGCAGAAAAAGTCTTCAAAAAATATTCGCTGAAGCTGAACACAGCCTCTCACAACACTGCTGGTGCACTGGTACAGCACAGTCACCTAGTGGGGGAAGCCGGTACTACAAGGGGCCGCCCTCCGGAAGATAATTCCGGTTTTTTGGGGGGTTCCTCTTCATATGAATCAATTTGTTTCTGGCTCTGCTCTATTCCATCACTCACCCACTTATTCTTTTTTTTTTTTTAATCCTTACAGGAGGACATATTCTCATGGCTTTTTTTTTTTTTAAGATTTTATTTATTTATTTTAGAGAGGGAAAGGAGGGAGAGAGAAAGAGAGAGAGAAATATCAATGTGCGGTTGCTGGGGGGTTATGGCCTGCAACCCAGGAATGTACCCTGGCTGGGAATCGAACCTGGGACACTTTGGTTTGCAGCCCGCGCTCAATCCACTGAGCCAGGGCTCTCACCCACTTATTCTTGTACCAGTACACACTGACTTTAATTATTGTAGCTCTGTAATTGGTCCTCATTTCTGGGAGATAAATCTTCTTCCCCTGTTCTCTTCCTTCACCATAACTCTGACTATTCTAGGCTCTTTACCTTTCCATATCACTTTTAGAGTCATCTCATTACATTTCATGAAGATTCCTGTTAGTTTCATGAAATAGGGATTACATTGAATCTGTAGATTAATTTGGAGAGAATTTATGTATTTATAATATTGGGTGTTTCTAACTATGGACATGATATTTTTCTCATGCATAATAGGTCCCTTTATAAACATCTTTTAATGCATCTTTTATAATGTTCTCCATTGAATTTTTCCATATTTTATATTAAATTTATTCCTAGGTGTTTGATATTCTCTGAGATCATTATAAATTAAATATTTAATTATGCTTTTTAGGTTTTTTGCTCATAATATAGAAAAATGAAACTGACTTTTATATGTCAATCTTACATGTAGCCAACTTGCTAAGCTCTCCTGCTGGTGTTATAACTTTCAGACTTTTAAATGTTGTCTATGTAAATAATTATATCATCTTCAGTAAAACAGAGTTATATTACATTTGAAAAAGTATGTGAAACAGGCAGGGAATTGAACTACGTGGTTATACAGGGAAGAACAGACCCAGTAGAAGGGACAGCAAATACAAAGCTGTTGACTGTGACCAATGTGTTCAAGGACTCTTGAAAAAGCCAGAGTGCCTGGAGCGCTGCAGGCAGGGAGGGGAGCAGTGGACGAGGTAAGGGCACTGGGTTAAATCGTGTAGGGCCTTGTGGACCACTACAAGGACTCAGATTTTCATTCTGATCTGGACACCCCAACATTAGAGGTTTTGAGCACAGGGTGGCATAATTTGAATCAGGTTTTTCGAAGACCATTCTGGCTACTATGTGGAGAATAAACTGTAAGGCTCAAGGACTGCAGCAGGGAGATGTGATTACAGTAATCCAGGTGAGAGGATGGTGGCTCAGACCAGGGCAGTAGTGGGCAGAGGTGGTGATAAAGTGGCTGTCTTGTGGATCGACTTTGAGTATAGAACCCAGAGGAATTTCTGACAGACTGGATATTGCCTAGGAGAGAAAAAGAAGAGCCAAGGATGATTCTAAGTGTTTTGACTGGGCAACTGGAAGAATGAAGTTTCCATTAATAACATTGTTGAAGAAGTTGAATATCATTTCATATAGTGTCTTCTTTATAAGGGCTTTGAAATAAATTTATTTTGTATTGGATACAGTTGCACTTCTCTCAAAAACTTGTTTCATTTGCATCATTGTTAGTATTTTCCGGGGACTGTGAATACAAATTGGCTATTGGAAGATTTGTGTCCCTTGTAGTAAGGATATAGCTATTTAAAGTATGTGTATTTTTTTTATTTACCTCACTCACATTTGGCCTTGTTTTTATCTTTTCTCACTGCTTCTAATTAGTTCTCTGATATGTTATACATCCTTACATACCTCCTTAAAATCTTTTTAGAACAGGACAAGTTTTGAATAAAAAAAAGGAAAATGTGGAAGGTAGTGTGAATTTTTAAAAACTAAGCATTAGAACATCATCTGGAACTATACATATGTATGTATGCACAATTGTATTTGAGAGCCTGCTGAGCATTCAGGAGTGTTCAGTGCATTCCCACTGGGTGTCCAGTGCTGTTCTAGGCACCTGATACATCACTTGAGAAAACTAAGAACCCTGTTGTCAGGGAGCATGCAGTCTAATGGGGTGATACCAAAAAAAAGAATAGCACATGAAGTATACTGGTAAGTTATATAGTAGAGTAGAAGATGATACTTACTGCAAGAAAGAAATGCCAAGTGTGATAAGGGAGACTGGCGGTGAAGGGAATGGGTGGGTTGCAGGGTGGAGGTTGCAGTATCCGACAGAGTGGTCTGGGTGGGCTGCATGGAGATGATGACGTTGGAGCTGAGACTCCAAGGAGGTGAGGATATGAGGGAAGCGCATTCCATCAGAGGGAAGAGCGAGGGAAGGCCCTGAGGTAGCAGTGTGACTAGCATGTTTAAGGTGCAGCTGGGCCGCCAGTGTGGAGCTGAGCGAGTGAGAAGAGTGGAGGGAGCCGGAGAGGCGGTGTGGGCTGGGAGACAAATCGCTCAGGGCCTCGTGGACTGTGGCGAGGACGTGAGCTTTTTCTCTGAGTGAGAGGGTTTCAGCCTAAGAGTGGAATGATTTTTAAAGGACCACTCTGGCTACTATCCTATACCTTTCAAGAGAGTTGATGATTATTTCTGTGATTTTAGGTATATTACAGCTAACACTGACACAGAAGAACAGAGTTTCCCAGTCCTCCAAGCACTGAACACACACACTGAGGAACTAAACTTGGATGTCCTTCTGCAGAAGGCGGATCATTTACGCATGAACGAGTTCAGCAAGATGGAGAGTTTTGAATTACTTTGCGACCACAAAGAAAAGGTAAGAGAGATATGATAATAACATGCATGTATAGTTTTGATTTTTTATTAAATCTATCCTATTCATATTATAACTGTAGGAGTTGTGTCAGTTTACAGGAGCTAAATGACTGATGCAAAGTGTTTCTGTGATATGACTAAAAATTGTATTATATATTTATGAGAGTTTATTAGGCTCTAAGATGATAAAATGGGAATTAGAGATATTAGTATTCAGATTTACTGTATTTTGCTGTGTATAATACACACTGTTTGCTCAACTTTTTGAGGGAAAAATAAGGATGCTTATTATACCTGCATGGGTATTATGATTACATACCATGGGTATAGTAATGGGCGTATAATCCCATGTATAATGTGCACAAAAACGTGGGTACACATTATGCATGGCAAAATTCAAGGTACTTTGATTTTTATTAATTTGTTATATTTAATAAATATTTTATAAAAGATAAATAATAAGACACACTGCTACTCTTGGGGTGAAAGAAAAGTTACATTTTAAGTTTTCTGACTTATAGTTATTAACATAATAGTTATTCATGTAAGTATTTTAATCTACTTCTATTCTTCAGTGTTTAACGTTGGGATGAATTGGGGAAGCCCATTCCTGCCATTGTCACAATCACCACCACCAACACCATCACCACCATCACTACCAACATCAACACCAATATCATCACCATCACCATCACCACCAACACCAATACCACCACCACCACCACCAACACCAACATCAAAAATAAGAGTTTACAATATCCCAAGGAGGAATAAATCTCTTTCCCATAAACAAATGTAACCTTTGAGGATTTAGCAACTCTAAACACACTATCTAGAAGTTTTTTAATCTCTAGAATTATATTTAAGTAATTTAGGTAAAAAAAAAACAACTGCTCTTTTGAGTATTTGTGATCTGTAATAACTTACGGATATTATCTGAAATGCTCATTGAAACTTTGCATTGATAGTAGATAACTTAGAGAATAAATAAGAAGAGGATACTACAATCCAGGGAGAGTGGAGTGTGTGGATTCTGGCATCTGGCAATTCTGTCTTCTACATAGGTGTGGGGCTAATGTCTGAATAGTATTAATTGGTTTTAAGTTCCAAGTGTAACACTATATTAAGTTATTTTTGTAGCCATGAATATTGTAATTTAAAATGTTACATGCACAGGAATAAATTCAGTCATCTGTAAACACCAGCTTGCCTACCTAATCTGTTCAAGTTGCAGTGGGAAACATTTTCGGTTTGGTCAAGGTGCTGAGCTAGTCTGATGTGCAATTCTGTCTTTCCAGTTCAGAGATGAAATAGAGTTTATTTGGCGGTTTGCTCGTGCTTATGGAGACATGTATGAAATATCTACAAACACACAAGAAAAGAAACATTATGCTAACATTGGTAAGTATTTTGTAAAGTTTGGTTGTCCGCAAGTGGCAATTATTGCCTACAATAAAACACTAATGATTAATGATTAATGATTTTAATTAATGCTAAATTATCTTAGCTAAAACCAATATGTTTAATCCATTCTAGTATATCCTGCTACTGAAAAATACACATAGTCTAAACACAGAAAGGTTTTTTAGAACTAAGTATATGTTCTTTAAGAATGTTTGAATATATTAGAGGGAGCAACTGGAAAACTCAAATTTAGCTTTTAACGTTTATATAATAAAGCCACAGAAAGATGAGACATGAAGCGCTAATGTTCGAGAAGCAATAATAGGCAGACGACACTTATCCTCAAAAATAGTCTTTCACCACAATTAAAATAACCTTCCCACCCACTTCCTATAAGGTAGGACTCCAGGTGCCACAAAAAAAATAACTACTCAGACTTTAATTAGTTTTTTTCAACATTTATCTTGATAAAACAAGATTAACCTTGAGTTGATAATTGTTTTAGCTGAGTAATAAGTGCCTGGTTGTTTATGATACTGTCCTCTGTACTCTTCTGCTTATTTTTGAAATTTTCCATGATAAAAACAACAAAAGAAACAGCCAGAATGTCAAGCTGTTTGTACATACATACTTCACCTTGACTCTCACTGGACAGCAAAACTCTTTCTTGCAAGAAGTCCCTTCACTGCCACCATTTCTGTGAGCTTCAGGGTCATGATCTGACTAAAAACTTCTTTAATTCTTCTTTAATTCCAACGTCCTCTCTTTTGCAAGCTTTCCTTGTCTAAGATAACATGAGGAAGAAACAGCAGGAAGATGATGATACTTCAGATTTCCTCCCAGTCTCTTTTTCTGTCCTTTTTATTTCCAAGAAGGAAGTATTTCCAAACTTCTGTAATTACATTTCTTCCGAGGTAGATTTCCTTGCCAGTTGACCTCTGCACTGTGATTCTCTCAGTGGGGAGTGGATGAGAGGGATCCTCTTGTTCTTCACAAATCCATCATCAGTTTGTGGGGCAGTTTTTCCACAGCAAGTCATCTTGCAGGCCACAGACAAAATGGAATTCTAGAGAAGAGATTTATTAACCTGAAGGTAAATAAAAATGTAACCAAAGAGAACAAACTGATTTTTTATATCTACTAAGAAAATCAAAGTATATCAATATAAATTGTTCTAAGATTCATCATATTAAATACATTTAAAAACTTATTGTATTTTTTCCATTACCATTTAGCCCCCTTATACCGACCACACCCTGGCAGCTACCACCCTGTTATCCATGCCCATGAGTCCTTTATCCTTTTTGCTCGGTCCCTCCACCCTCTGACCCCCAGCACCCCACCCCCGCAGCTGTCGTCCTGCTCTCTATCTATGAGTCTCTCTATTTTGCTTGTTAGTTCAGTTTGTTCATTAGATTCCACATATGAGGGAAATCATATGATATTTGTTATTCTCTGACTTATCTCACTTAGCATAATGTTCTCTAGGTCCATCCATGCTGTTGCAAAGGGTAAAATTTTTCTTCTTTTTTACAGCCATATAGTATTGCTTTGTGTAAATGTCCCATCATTATTTTATCCCTCATCTACTGATGTGCACTTGGGCTGCTTCCATATCTTGTTGATTGTAAATAACACTGCAATGAACATACGGGTGCTTATGTTCTTTCAAATTAGTGTTTTGGGTTTCTTCAGATATGTTACCAGAAGTGAGATTGCCGAGTCAAAAAGGCAGATCCATTTTTAATTTTTTTGAAGTATCTCTATACTGCTTTCCACAGTGGCTGCACCAACCTGCATTCCCACCATATCCTCACCAGCACTTGTTGTTTGTTGATTTATTGATGATAGCCATTCTGACAGATGTGAGGTGATATCTCATTGTGGTTTTAATTTGCATTTCTCTGATGGTTAATGACATTGAGCATCTTTTGTCTATTGGCCATCTGGATGTCCTCTTTGGAGAAGTGTCTGTTCATGTCCTTTGCCCATATTTTAATTCGATTGTTAGAGTTTTTTTGTATTGAGTTTTGTAAGTTCTTTATAAATTTTGGATATTAACCCCTTATCAGATGTGTTGGCAAATATGTCCTCCCATTCCATGGGTTGTCCTTTCAGTTTGTTCATGGTTTGCTTTGCTGTGCAAAAACTTTTTAGTTTGATATAATTTTTGTTTATTTTTTCTTTTGTTTCCCTTGCCTGGGGAGATATAGCAGGTAAAATATTATTACAAGCAGTATCTGAGATTTTACTGCCTATGTTTCCTTCTAGGATTTTTATGGTTTTGGGTCTAACATTTAAGTCTTTAATCCACTTTGGATTCATTCTTGTGTGTGGTATAAGAAGGTGGTCTAGTTTCATTTTTCTGCACATATCTGTCCAATTTCCCCAGCACCATTTACTGAATAAACTATCTTTAGCCCATTGTATGTGCTTGTTTCCTCTGTCAAATATTAATTGACTGTAAATGTGTATGTTTATTTCTGGGCTCTCTATTCTGTTCCATTGATTTGTGTGTCTGTTTTTATGCCAGTGCCATGCTGGTTTGATTACTATGGTTTTATAGTATAGTTTGATATTAGGAAGTGTGATTCCTCCAACTTTGTCCTTCTTTCTCAGGATTGTTGTTGCTATGTGGGGCCATTTGTGGTTCCATATAAATTTTTGAAATATTTGTCTAGGTCTGTGAAATATGTCATTAGAATCTTGATAGGAATTGTGTTGAATCTATAGATTGCTTTGGGTAGCATGGAAATTTTAATGATGTCAGTTCTTTCTGTCCATGAACACTGTATGTGCTTCCATTTATTTGTATCTTCTTCCATTTCTTTCTTCAGTTTCTTTTTTTTATGTCTAATTTTTATTCTGAAATGTAAAGCTCTTCTGAATTACAGTTGATGTACAATACTGTATTACTTTCAGCTGCAGAACATAGTGAGATTTAACATTTATATATCTTACAAAGTGATCACCACAGAAGATCCACTATCCATCCGTCACCGTACAAAGTTATTGTGATACTAATATTAATAATCCTTATGTTGTACTTTGCACCCCCATGGCTTATTTACAAGTTTCTACCTCCTACTCCCCTTAGCCTTTCTCCCCATACCCCCACCACCCATCCCTCTGGCAATGATCAGTTTTTCTATATCTATGGGTCAGTTCGTCCTGTTTGTTAAGTTTTTTAGATTCCACCCCTAAGTGAAATGATACAGTATTTGTCTTTCTCTGACTTAATTTCCTTAGCATTATACACTCTTGGTCAGTCCGTGTTGTTGCAAATGGCAAGATCCGCTTCTTTTCTGGTGGTGCCACATCCTGGTACATTGTGTGCACGTGCACACACATCCACTCCTTTACCCATTTATCTGGTGATGAACACCGGAGCTGCTTCAATAACTTGGCTACTTTAAATAATGCTGCAGTAAACAGAGATGCATGCAGCTTTTTGAATTGTTCCACTTCTGGGGGCTTACCTGAAGAAAACAATTGCTGGGTCCTTCTTTGTCTCTTGTTATATAGCCTCTGATTTAAAGTCTTTTTGTCTGATGTAAGTATTGCTATCCCAGCTTCTCTATTTTTTTTTTTATTTCCATTTACATGAGGTATCTTTTCCATTTATTTATTTCCAGTCTCTGTGTGACTTTCAATCAGGAGTCTCATGGAGGCAATGTAGGCAGGATATGTATAACCCCCCCCCCTTTCTTTTAAACTATTCAGTCATCCTGTTTATTCAATGGAGCATTTAGTCAACTTCAATTGAAGTAATTATTGATAGCTATGTCCTTATTGCCATTTTAATTGTTTCCATACTACATTATAAGTGGTTGGTCTACTATCTTTACTATTTGTTTGACTTTACCAGTACATATTTTTTCATCTTTTTGGCCTTTTCTACTTAAAGAATCCCCTTTAACATTTCTTGTAATGCTGGTTTAGTGGTGATGTACTCCTTTAACTGTTGCTTGTCTGAGAAAATCTTGACCTCTCCTTCTATTCTGAATGATAACCTTGCTGGGTAGAGTATTCTTGGTTGTAGGTTTTTTTCTCTCATCATGTTGAATATATCATGCCACTCCCTCCTGGCCTGCAAAGTTTCTGTTGAAAAGTCAGCTGACAGTCTTATGGGAATACCCTTGTATGTAACTAGTTGTTTTTCTCTTGCTGCTTTTAAGATTCTCTCTTTATCTTTAACTTTCAACAACTTAATTATAATGTGTCTTGGTGTGTGTCTCTTTGGGTTCATTTTGTTTGGGACTCTCCATGCTTCCTGGACTTGGATGTCTGTTTCCTTTGCCAAGTTAGAAAAGTTTTCAGCCATTATTTCCTCAAATAGGTTTTCTGTCCCTTTCTCTCTCTCTTCTCCTTCTGGGACCCCTATGACTTGAATGTTAGTATGCTTGATGGTGTCCCATAGGTCTCTTATGCTATCTTCGTTCTTTTTAATTCTTTTTTCTTTTTGATCTTCCAGCTGGGTGACTTCCACTATCCTGTTTTCCTGGTTGCTGACCCATTCTTCTGTGTCATCAGATTTGATGTTGATTTTCAGATTGATGTTGATTTCCTGCAATGATTTTTTCATTTCAATTGTCCCTTTCCTCACTTCTGTTAGGTCCTTTCCTAGAATTTGTAGGTCTTTGTTCAAGTTGCTAAAGTTCTCACTGAGTTCATTCATTTGTCTGCACAGTTGAAAGAGCGTCTTTATGACTGTTACTTTGAACTCTTCATCTAGTAGACAGCTGACCTCAGTTGCATGTAGTTCTTCTGGGGTTTTGTCCTTTTTTTTTATTTGGAACGTATTCTTTTCTATCTTCATTTTGCCTGTTTGTTTTTATGTATTGTATTAGGTAGTTAAGAGAAATCTCTTGGTCTTGAAAAAGTGGCCTTATTTTCCCACGGGGCCCTAATTTCAATGTCCCCCTTGTTACCAGAGCCAGGTGGTCTACAGAGGGCACTAATATAGCCTCCTGTTGTGGCTGGGCCACTTCTGTGGATACACTAGCAGGCAAGGCTGCTGCTATCTGGCCTGCTGGCTGTGAGGCCTGGCCACAACTGTTGCAGACTCACTGGAATGCAGGGCAAGGCTTTGATGTGGCTGGCTGCAAAGCCCTCCCCTGCTGCTGCAGACACACTGCTGTGTGCTGGTGCTGAGTGAGGCTGCCCACGGTGTGTGGCAGGCCAGGAAGTGCTCTGGAGGGGTACTACCCTGGGTGGACCCTCAGGGAAATGCCAGGGTGGGGCAAACAGTGTTAGCAAGGTTAATGGACAGTGTCAGACCAGCCAGGTTAGAGGAAGGGGAAAAATGGTACCCACCGGCACCTGTGGCATGAGCAAGTTCCAGCAGATCCCTGTCCCTCCAGTACACACCCTAAAATTAGTCAATGAATCACCTTCACGTATGACCTAGCTGCTTTTTAAACTGCTCCCTCTGCGCCAGAACAGGGAAGGAGCGCAACCTGGGCTTCCTACAGCCCGTTAACTCTCCCAGATGTGAGCCTCGCTGGTTTTCAAAGACAGCTGTTATGAGGGCTCCACTTCCTGGTTCAGGTCAACCAGTTTAGGGTTCAGACCCTTTGCTCTCTAGGGGCGACCTCCGAGGTTGTCATAACCCTCCCACTTGTGAGTCACTGCATCAGGAGTAGGGAGTAGGGTAGGTGCTGACTAGGCTTAGTCTCTACCCCTCCTACCCTTTTCAATATGGCTTTTACTTTGTCTGTAGTTATAGAAAACCTTTCTGCGAGTCTCCAGGTGGTCTCAGAGATAGCCGTTCTATATGTTGCTGTTTTGGTGTCAATGAGAGGAGGTGAGCTCAGGGTCTTCCTACTCTGCCATCTTGAACTTGAAGCCAGGGGCCTTGCTCTTGAATGTCAATTCAGCTTGTCCGTGAAAACCCGTTCCCTCCGCTTGGTGCCCTGCCCTTGCAGAAAATGTGCCTCCGCAGCGGACCGCCCGAGTCACTCTCTTCAGTTTCTTATAATTTTCTGTATAGGTCTTTCACATCCTTGGTTAGGTTTATTCCTAGGTATTTTATTCTTCTTGAAGCAATTGTGAATGGGGTTGTTTTCTTACTTTCTGTTAGTTCATTGCTGTCATATACTAAATGCAACTGATTTCTCGATATTAATTTTGTGTCCTGCTACTTTGCTAAATTCATTCACTGGATTCTAGTAGTTTTTTGATGGAATTTTGGGGGTTTTCTATGTAGAATATCATGTTATCTGAAAATAAGGATAGTTTTACTTTTTCCTTTCCAATTTGGATGCCTTTTATTTTTTCTTCTTGTCTGATCGCTATGGTTAGGACTTCAAGTACTATGTTGAGTAAGAGAACTGAAAGCAGACATCCCTGCCTTGTTCCCAATCTTAAGGGGAACGCTTGTAGTTTTTGCCCCTTTGAGTATGCTGCTGGCAGTGGGTTTGTCAGATATGGCCTTTATTATGTTTAGGTATGTCCCCTCTATTCCCACTTTGCTGAGAGTTTTTATCATAAATGGGTGCTGGGTTTTTATCCAATACTTTCTCTGCATCATTCATATAATCATGTGGTTTTTATCCTTCATTTTATTATGTGGTGAATCACTTTTATTGATTTGTGAATGTTGCACTAACCTCACATTTCTGGAATAAATCCTACCCAAGGCATTAGGTCTCCTTCTGTATTTCAAGGTAGAAATATTATAGCAAAATAGGCATGTTCTCTGCCTATAGAGGACCTTATGGCTTTGTGGGAGAGGCAGTATTATTCAAATAATCGTACACATAAAGAAACAAACTGGAAAACGTTGCTAGTAAAGAAGGAGGCCTGTGTGCAGAGAGTGTGTAACAGGAGGATATGGCAGCACGGGCGGACGTTGGCGCAGGGCAGTCTTCCCTATAGAGGTGATGGTGTCACGTAGATAAAATTACTTGGGGTCTGTTTCCAAATGGAGTGGGAGTTTAATTGAGTTAATATATGAGCTGGTAAAAATGGAAGGAGAAATAGGCTGGAGGAATTTTAGGGACAGGAGTGGAGTATAGATTAAAGTAGGATATACCCAAAATAAGAGAAAAGTTTATTGTGTCAAAGAAAAAGCAGTAAAGCCTCAGAGGTGTTCATTTAGATATTCAAAATAAATTTTAAAAGTTGCTTTTCTTATGCATTTGAGAAATATTTATTTAAAATTACTGAGTCCAGGAGCAATGGTAGAATGAAGGGTGAAGGGAAGGAGAGGAGGGAGGGGAGGAGAGATGTAACTATGACCAAGACAGTGGGACTCGAAGGAACTTACTGTGTAGAACAATACGGAGACGGCCAATTGTCACTCAGTGGACAGGTCATAAGTGCTTGGTGCTGGCAAAGGAAATACATTGGAGCTGAGATCAGCCATTGAGGGCCATTGGAACTCGGTATGAGGGAGGAAGAGTGCTGAGTGTTCTTTCTCACGGTAGCATCTTGAAATTGTTATCCGAGGGAAGATTTGGTTCCTGGAGAATGCAGAAGTCTTTCATAAAACTCAAATTGGGGTATGCCATTATGTAGTACATCTTTTGAAGTGCTGTGATTGATCATAACCTGTATTAGATATAAAATGTGAGTCTTATATCTAAAGGAACATTGTTATAATTTCCAGAATTAAATGATCGAGACAAATGCCTCAAATAGGTCACCAAATACAATTCTGTAAGTGGAATGTCTTTCCTTCCAGCCCTCAGCTGCATAAATGAGGCTGTGAAACCGGACTGTGTATTACCCAGCCTCCTTTTCTATTCTCTCCCGCATTGTAGGCTTGTGGTAGTGTACTGAAAGCTGTTTGTGTTCACTTGGCAACATAGCTACAATGTTGATTTGGTTGTATTGTTTGCACATTAAAAAGTATTTATGCTTTACAATTATTTATTTATGAATTACAAACTATCTCAATATATGTCCACAATGCAATATCAGTTATTATTAAAATACCTTACTGTTTAATTTTTTTCCAGTTTATGGAGCTTTCTGCACAAAGTACTTCTCTTACTGGCTAGAACTCTAAATTACCACCTTAACAAATTAACAAATAGGAGAATAACTCTTATAAAGATTTATAAACATTATGTTTTTTTTTTATTTAGAGGGGCATTATTTAGAGGGGCATTTTGTGAGTCCTTGGATATTCTTTCCAAGGCAAAAAAAAAAAAAAAGGAGCTGGGAAAAAGGAGATGGTATAAAATAAAATAGGCCATTTTTGAGAAAACTTTTCAGAATGTGGTACAGGTTTGCTGCAAGCGTTTGGATTTTTCAAGTCAATAAACAAACCTCTATTCAAAGTAATTATTACATTATTAAGAGTTATTCTAAACTAATTAAAACGATCTGGGAGACTTATTTACGTACTGAGCCTGTTTTTTACTGTGAATGACACGGTGCAGACTTCTCCGGGCTGCCTTCCCTTGCTCGTTTAGCGGAGTTACTTACTCTGTTCTCTGCTGTGCTTTTTTTTTTTTCACCTTGCTTTTATTTTTTTGCATGTAATTTGTTTGTTTACAGGCTTGTTTATATGCCTACTGTGAGCCCTTGAAACTCAAGAACTGTGTCTTATTTGACTTTTTGCTTCCAGAAGCACACATAACATGGCACTTAGAAGGCACTCAACAAATGTTAGTTAAGTCAGTTACAAAACAATTTCTGTTAATGCTTTTAAATAATAATTGAATGACTTTTCTTGCACTTGGTTAAATCGCTTAGTCTGGTGGGTCTCAAACTTAAGCATACATCAAAATCACAGGTGACTTGTTAGAACACATTGCTGAGTCTCAGAATTTGTGATCAACGAAGTCTCCTATGTGGCCAAAAATTTGCTTTCTAACAAGCTTCCAAGTGATCTTGGGACCATACTTTGGAAACCACTCATCTAAATCAATAATCTACCCATTACCAACTCACATCGAGGAACTAAGTATAAGTACGTTTATCTTTCAGGAAAGACATTAGGTGAGAAAGCTATAACTAGAGCACCCATGAATGGACATTGTCATCTGTGGTAAGTACATAGAACTTATGCAGTCTTTTAAAATTCTAATATGCCTCTATAAATTACAATGAAATTTAAAAATATTATTGACCATTTAACCTGTCACATTCACTGAAAAATATATCTAGTAAATAACACTAATGGTTCTTGTTCTATTTATTTTCATGTATTTTTTAATATGTATATTTTAAGTATATTTAAGGTAAACTTTCATTGAACATTGACTCATAAGTGAATCTATCAAGTTCAGTGGCTTTGAATTTGACGAATTCTAATTAAAACTAACTTAATATAACATTTTATTTGAAAACAAATAGTAAAATGATTCTGTGATTCTAATTCAAATGTAGAAAGAATGCTTCACAGAATAAATGCACATCAGCCATATCTCATACCTTGATGAGTAAAGGTGTACGAATTCTGCAGGGTAAAGAAAAGCCGTTTATAATATAAGAAAGCTCAGACAAAGGATGTTTCATTAGTGGGATGGGTGTACGTGAATATCCTTGGAGCAAAAAACATTTATCCTCGAGTATGTTTTATTTTGAATTCTTCATATGTATAGAATTATAAAGCACAAACAAGAAGAAAATATTTTTAATCAATATTCCTTTTACTTGTAGTTGGATTTTTGCAACATTTTTTAGTTTCCTAGGTTTTTTTTTTCCCTCCCTAGCAATACAAGTACTTTAGGTACTAGGAAGATATAGTAATAAATTAATTTGAGCCTTCTCTCAGACCTAGGTTTCCAGAAATCTGTTCTTCTTCGAGATTATTTTATTCTTCTGGGGCACTCTGAGGCAAAATCTCTCTCAAAATGTGTCCCTTTCCACAGGTCGATGTCTATCCCACAGGAAATCCATTTTTGCCCCACCAACTCTGGAAATGTACCCAGTTTTCCCAAAGTAGACCTCCTTCTTGACTCTGCCACCGAGCAGGGGGAGCTCCACCCACACTTTCATCTCAAAACTTCCCTGGGCAGAAGGCATCATTCTTTTATATCCCCTAAACTCCAAGGGATGCATGCAAAATAAGAGATCTTTTGAAGCTGCCTTCACTTGCCCTAATAAGAGATGTAAGCCTACCCGCTGCCCTCTCCCATAAGAAGGTGAGAGGTGGAACCCACCGTACCTACCACTTCTCTTCATAGAACTCTCACTCCACGTCTCTCTCGCCCGCAGTGAATTCTTTGCCTTCTCTTAGACAGCCTGGAGAGAGGTGAAGGGCTAAGCCTGGGAGTACCTGTGAATCATTTTCTTAGCATGTCACGCATGCATAGTAGAGTGTCTTGCTTTAGGAATTGGAGTACCTAATAGATCGGTGTTGTCCTGTGCCCTTGGTACCTCTGCCAGAACTCTAGCAGAAAGGTAATTTTGCAGTCAACATCCTGGTACATATCTTCATAATGATGTCCCCAATATATAAGTTTCTTGGCTATTATTTCTATAGCTAATTATACCTTTCTTATCTAATTTGTATAATAATATTAATAAATTAACATGTATGCATTTGGTACTTAATGTTCTTCTACTTTTAATAGTAATAGCAATGAATTTTTACTGATCTAGCCACACTCTCTTCATCTCCTTCCATGACGGAGGTGTTTAGGAGCTGGTTAGCTGGATTTAGATACAGAGGAACACCCCAGTTCTTTTCTTCACTAAGCTGTTCCTCCTCTTTCTCTTCCTCCTCCTTCTTCTCCCCCTTCTGGGCTGCTTTTCCTCTGCTCTCCTCTCCTGTTGCCCTTACTGCATCTGCATCCAAGAAGAATCACATTAAAAATGTACATTTGATGTTCATTCTCAATTTGAGGGCAATTATCAGTGTGAGCTTCCAAATTGTCATAGGGGAAAATGTTGACTCTTCTTTGAGGCCTTCGTAAGTACCATGACATCCGTCTTCTGAGGACAGATGGAGCTGAACCCTCTCTGAGCAGGTTGCGCAGTCTCTTGCGCATTAACCTGGCTGCTTCTCCTTTGTTCGTCAGGATTTTTTACACTTTTTGTTGTGAACAATTTGTTATTTTTATAACCACAGGATTTAACCCCGAAGTTAAATCTTATCAACATATACCCATAGTAATGATCCAATTGTGTTCCACATATTTCTTATTCAATATCAGATTTTATAATAGTAAAAAATATTAAAATCTAATCAGCTGATTAAAATGTAACAAATTCTAATGTCAGTTTTGTCTAAATTCTTGAAATGTATATAATGTATTTACTGAATACAAGAGTTCATGTTCATATAAATAGTAGAGGCTTAGGGTGATAAAAAAAGAAATTAAAACTTGAGAAGCAATAGGTAAAATTTAGGTTTACCAATTCCATTATTAAAATAAAATGTAGTGAAAGGGTTGTATTCTGCTGGAATCTCTGTTAGTCTGTTAAGACATTTTCTTATTCACTCAGCATAGACGACAAACTGTGGCCTGCAGACCAAAGCCAGCTACCTTCTGTTGTAAGTGAAGTTTTATTGGAGCACAGCCCCACCCTGCACTTGTGCCCAGCCATGAGTGGGATGGTTGCAGCAGAGACTGTCTGCCCCCAAAGTCTAACGTGTTTGCCAGCTGGCCCACCGTTTACAGGGTTATGTGATGGTTTACGAGCCTTCCTTCTGAAATAAAAGATGCAGTCTTTAGGCATAATTATTGTAAAAGATTAACATCAAGGGAATAGTTGAAAAACAGCATTATTTTAAAGATTTGTTTTTCATCTTCATGTAACTTTAAGGCTACATGAGCTTTCTGTTCTGGAATCAAGAGACTAAAACCACCAATGAATTTGCAGTTTGTTAGCCAAAGTGGCCTGACCTTAATTATAAATAATGTCTTACATATTTTGTGCTCTACTGTGCACAAATTATGTCCATATGCCTCATAGCATGTGATTCGCAGAACAGCTTCTTCTCATTTTATAGATAGGGTAAGCAAGGCAGTGTGTGTGTGTGTGTGTGTGTGGTGTGATATGTAGATTAGTAACCAGTGTTCATGCAATAAGTGGAAAAATAAGGCAGACCTTATATTCTTAAATACTCAGGATTCTCTTCCATTGTTCTTCCTCTGCTTTCTCACAGTATAGATGGCATTCATGCTTGGTCAGAAGTGCCGCAGAGAAGCTAGTGGAGTTGTTCTAGTAGTTTTTGAAACAAGAATGTTTGTGGATTATTGTTCCACATCAATGCCACTAAAGAATTTTTGTCAAAATGCGTGTGGTTAGAATGACCTCTAGATGGAGGTAATACACCATATTGTGAACTAACTTCCTTTGGAGTTCCCATCAGCATAAGAGTTTAGGAAATGAAACTTTAAATTACCATTTTAAAGATGAATACTAGAAAAAAACACAGCACACACCCAGAGACACAGGTAGAAGAGGAGTGATGATCCTTCGGGGACAAGTGTGCAGGTGAACTTCGCACTTATGGTAAGTAGGGAGATAAATACTGCTTTAGAGTTTAAAAAACCAGACTTCAAAAGGATTCTGAAAAACAGGACTCTAGTGACAGGTTGTATAAGGGAAAACTGTACCTGTTTCTTATGATGATATTCATGAGTCACGGTGTTTTTCTTTCTCGGAGTAACTCAGAGAAAAGGTGGTGAGAACACTGTAAAAGCCTAGAACAGCATGCATCGATCTCATGTTCAGAAACAGAAGAATGATCCCACCACTGTACACCAGTGAATGTAGAACCTTTCTCTTTGATTCCAGCGTTGATAGTCAGGTTGTTCTGTGAATCTGTGGATAAGGACATTCAAGTAGATGCAACATAGACTTTTCTAAAGATGTGACATGATCTTATTTATTTATTTATTTCTTTGCTAGAAGGCATTAAGGCAGGTCCACTCCTTAAACCCTTGTGAACAAGATGTAGAAATGCATGGAAACTTCTGGGCTGTCCATGCTGACAGGAGGGTTGGGGCCTCACTTATTCGACAAAATAACTACGGACAACAACATTGTCGGTCTGGAGATGGTTCTAGAGTTCCAGGTCTATGTTTTAGTCATTTTGTCCATGGGTGAAGATATGGAAGGTGTGCTTATAAAAGTTTCAAAATAACACAAATTACAATGAACAGGGAGTATGATGGATGACAGTAGTAACCCCAAAGAATTTCACATACGAAGCAGCCCAAGTGTCCATCAGTAGATGAGCAGATAAAACAACTATGGGACATTTACACAATGGAATACTACTCGGCCATAAAAAAAGAAGAAAATTTTACCCTCTGAGACAGTGTGGATGGACCTAGAGAACATTATGCTAAGTGAAATAAGCTCGTCAGAGAAGGACAAAAACCATACAATTTTACTCATATGTGGAATCTAATGAATAAACTGAACCAACACGCAAAATGGAGACAGGCTCAGAGAGCAGGATGACAGCTCAGGGGGTGGGGAGGTTGGGGGATGGAGAGGTTGAGCAAAAAGGAAAAAGGACTCGTGGGCATGAACAACAGTGTGGTGATTGCAGGGGGGAGGGAGGTAGAAGGGAGATAAATGGTATTGAAAAAATACGATAAAAATAAATTTTAAAAAAGATACTGAACATGGTGTTACTGGGGGTAAATATAGAAGGAGTGATGGAGAAACAATGTCAAAGTTTAAGGACATTAGGTAAAAAATAGAAATTTGAGTAAAGTAGAATTTAGTTAATAATTTATTAATGTTGATTCATTGTAAAAATGACATATCAATATTAATATGTCAATATTGGTGCAGTGTTGATAAATACACTATAGTGAAGTAAGATGTAAAAAGTAGAGAAAACCAGATATGGGTGTATGGGAACTCTGTACTAGCTTTGCAGCTCTCTTGTAAATCACAAGCTATTTTAAAATAAAAGTTTATTTTTTGAAAGTAGCCTAAGGTATTAAGTACAAATAGGTTATGACACCCATGGCAAAAACAGGGAGTTTGGAGATGCAGTCCTGTGGGATTTTGCTCCATGTTCTGGAACTCTTTGAGAGGAATGACAGAACAGAATGACAGAGAGCATGTCAAAAAACATGAGGAGGCTGGAGGCGACAATAGCAGTTGTCATGAGTGAGCTCGAGAGTCTTTTTCCTGTAATCTTTCCTTAAATTCTCTCGTGGCTGCAGAGATGTACGTGAAGTGCCGTCTGATTTTACAATTTGCAAGGAGTAGTACCTCCTTATCTGGTTAAGTTCTCCCATTACTTTTAATAGGTTGGTTTAGCCATCACTCTTGCTTCCGCTGTCATAGGTTCCTTTGATTGTGTAGAAACTGAAAATTCAAGAGATCAAAAAGTTGTCATTGAAAAGCAGCCATTTCATTGGTTGTGCATGTTATGTGAATTATGTGATCTTTTTCATCCAGAAATGGTCTTAGTATTCCAAAAGGAGAAAATTGTTTGCTTCATATTTATACTCAAAAGTTATGCTTACCCACAGAAACAACAAAGATAAATACCACTCAGAGTCACCTTTTTCAGTTCAGTTATGACAGTGCAAGTAAAAGTGAACACCTACTTTTGAAATACTTTAGTAAATGAATATTTTGCCTCAGACAGAAACACTCTAAAATAAATACTCCAAAGACTTTTGAACAGACAGAAACACTCTGAATGTGAAAAGTAATATATCCCCAATTTTTAGAGTAAGCAAATTACTGAACAAATATCACACCCAATTTATAATCAGTAAATAATCATTGATTGATTATAAATTATTTATAATTTATGTAAACTTTGTATTCCCAATGGAAAAAAGTAAATAATCCATTGGTTTCTCTATTCTAATAATACAGGTTTCCACGGAAGGATTGAAGGACACGGGGAATTTCTTGGAAAAGCATATTCTCAAATTATCTTTGACTCTATTTAGTTTTTAGTCATGATATTTATTTTTGTTTTGAAATGACATTAAAGGAGGCCATGAGAATTTTATTTTTATTGAAGAAGCAAGGATTTGTTGATACATTTTTCTTTTTTTAAAAGGTTTTATTTATTTTTTGAGAGAGGGGAAGAGAGAGAGAAAGGGAGGGAAGCATCAATGTGTGGTTGCCTCTCATGCCCACCTACTGGGGACCTGGCCTACAACCCAGGCGTGTGCCCTGACTAGGAATCAAAGGGGCGACCTCTTGCTTCGCAGTCTGGTGCTCAGTCCACTGAGCCACACCAGCCAGGGCTGATACAATATATTTTTCAACTTAATATTTATATGATTAGATTTTTTCTGAGATCCTCTCTGTGACTTTATTGTTGGTGATGATGATAGTAGCAGCCTGCATTTCTTGAAACTCACTGCATACCAGGCCATATTCTAAGTAATCACGTGTTTTAGGTATTTACCCTCACAGCATACATACGAGATAGATGGTGTTAGCATCCCCAGTTATAGATGAGGAAGCTGGCTTCACATTAATGTCAAATATTTATTATTTTGGGGGCCTTTGCATCTACATGAATACTTTTGTTAAATATTAAAGAATGCTTCGGAGACATTTTTTAACTGTTATGTTTGGTGGTATTTGATTAAAAGTTCACACAAATTCCATTGTTTGTATCTCTTTCAGGTACGCGGTTTTGTGTGGCTATGTATCTGAGTTTGAGGGTTTACAAAACAAAATCAACTATGGACATCAATTCAAGGTATTCCTTGATATTACAAATGCTGTAATGTAGCCATATGTTCCATTAATAGGTCTAAATCAAATTATTCAACAAATTAATCTCTAGGAATTTATCTTTTTTATTTAAATGAAATGGCATTCTTCAAATAGTACTATGCCAAAAGGAATCAAACTCTTGGGGTGATTAAAGATTATTATTATTCTAGATTCTGAAAGAAGTCATCTGGTAGATGAGTATAATATTTTCAAAGATAGAGGATTAGCCTATTGGTCATGAACTCACCAATACTGTAAACATGACCAGGACTAATTAGTTAATATTTTCTACATATTGACTCACAGGAGGAGTAGAATTTAATCTAGGGCTTATATTTACCATGACAGGTGAATGAAATAAGTAATGTAATACATATCATTTATATTATGCCTGTAGTTGTGATAGCTCAGTAAAGAACCCCCCAGGGCCAATAATTACAGTGATAGAGTTGTTTCCCACCTCCCTGTAACTATTTGACAGCATCTGTGGGATAGATCCCTCTGCCATCTAGTTCTGCTGTTTTTTCCTCCATTACACCCTAATTGTGTGATATTTGTGTGTCATGGGCAGACAATAATGCAACTGAGTGTTTTCTGTTTTTATAGTGACATTTTGGCTTTAAATTACCCGTAGCCTTATCAAATCATAGTCACAGTTCCGATTCTTGTTCTGAGCAATCATTTTTATAACGAATTAACTGATAATAATGAATCGTATTAATTGTCAGAGATAGGGACTGAGGAGGAGGATGGACAACACTGTAAAGCTCCTTTGAGTTTACTGGGTGTGGTTCCATTCACCACTTCCTCCAAATCTTGGGAGATGATACTTCTTTGGGGTTTTCTTTCAGGAACATCTAGATAAAGCAATCCAATTATTACCTGAAGAACCCTTTTTGTATTACCTCAAGGGAAGATACTGTTACACTGTAAGTTGATTGCTTTTATCTATAAATCTCATTTGAATACACTCTGATCGCATGACATATTTTCAGTGACTTACTTATTCTTTTATTGTTTTACCTAGCACCTACTATATGGAAACAGAGTAAAAAGACATATTTTATGAGTTTATATATTTATATTTTATAACACATATTTTATTACATATAATGGAAGATTTATATAAGTATGTGTGTTTTCTCCCTTTACTGCCTTTCCATTTCCCTGTGGAGCAGTTGCACTGTCTCTCGCCCTTTGTGCTCTCTCAGGGGGGCGTCTGCCACCAGTGCACAGGTAGCCTGTCCTGGTGCAGTGCTCTGTGTTCTGTGCAAGGACTTTTCTCATTCAGAGTTGACTGAGTATAAATTATGGGCTCACTGGCCAGAAGATAAATAAAACACTGTCCTTGTCTTCAAGAAATGTAATTTAGAAAGGGCCCTGAGATATATAGAAATAATGGTGGCTGGTAAGTCTAAGACCAAGTGTCTTGAATGACATTAGTTTATGGAAAATTAACAGAATATGAAAATAGGTCTTAAGAGATGCATGAAAAAAACTACCATGAGGAGAAATACTATTTGTAGATGAGAAAATTGGGGTAAGCAAAAAAGGAAACTTTTAGAATGAGGCTTGAAGAGAATTAAAGATGAAGTGGGAAGCTTGCTTTTATTGAACCCCTGCTACGTATCAGATGTGCATTTCATGGTTCACATTCCTTATCTCAAATACTCCTTCTAACAGCTCTAATAATTATAACTATCTCAAACAATCTCTTATAAGCAGTTTTTATTATGCCACTTTTAAGAATCTAAGTCTTCCTGAGGTTGGAGACTCGGCTAAGCTTTGAAAACCATTGACCCAGTCTCATTCCATGTATATTATTACATGTATATTATTTGTTTAGGCTTCAAAACCCAAGAAGGAAATCTTAATGCAAAATGGAACCAGATCTTCATGCCGTAGACAAATGGCAGAAGCTGATGTTAGTCCTCCCTGGAGGAATGTAGCTTCACTTTATGAAACTCTCGCAGAGTGGCCCAGCACTATCAAGAACCATAGAATACACAAGAAATAAGCCATCAGGAAAGACGATCAACAAAAGCAACAACAAAAAACAGAATAGATCTAAAAGGACTTTAGATTTTTGGAAACAGAACACAGGACATTAAATAGCTACCTATCTGTGTGTGTGTGTGTATGTGTGTGTGTGTGTGTGTGTGTGTGTTTAATAAGAGGAATTGGGCGGGGGCAAGAGGAATGGATGAGGAGCGTAAGACTATAAAAATTACCAGGTACAGTTGGAAAAGATGAAACAATTTTTGATATAGAGAAGTATATTATTTGGCATTAAAAGAAAACTCAATAGAAAATTATAGCAGTAGATAGGTACCCTTAGAGAGGGAATGAGCAAACTTTAAAATAAATCTGAAAAAGTTACCTGGGATGCAGCACAGAGGAACAAAGGGATGGGAAACATGGAGGAGAGATAAAAACACCTGGAAGGCAAGGACACTGCGCAGTGGTCAACTTTCACCCACCTCTTTGGGTAATGAATGGAACAAGAAGAAAAAAAAGTGTCTTAAGTTTGTAAACATTGGAGCCTCACATTTAATAACTTTGATCTAAGACACATGTATGAAAATATGTACCTAACTAGTGGAGGATACACATTTTCAAGCATACACAGAATGTTTATGAAATTGACCATATATGAGGTCATGAAGCAAGTCTTAATAAATTTTAAAGAATTGCTACCATACAATTTTTCTGATCATAATACAGTTCAATTAGAACCTAAAAGACCAAGCAACTTAAACAAATCTTTTTTTTAAAGATTTTATTTATTTATTTTTAGAGAGATGGGAAGGGAGGAAGAGGAGAGAAATGTCGATGGGCAAGAGATACATCATCCAGTTGACCTGGCCCACAACCCAGGCATGTGCCCTGACTGGGAATCGAACCTTTCTATTCATAGGCCCGTGCTCAATCCACTGAGCCACACCAGCCAGATCTAAAAAAAAAAAAATCGACATTAGAAATAATGAGAAATAATAATTAAAACCACAAAATGACATGCCGTTTTTACTTTCTCACTCATCTGATAAAATTTAAAAATACGGCGTGAGATGTTGCAAGGCTGTAGAGCAACAGGAATTCTTGTACTGCAATAGGTGCGTACACTGGCACAGCCAGCTTGGAAACGATGGGGTGGTATCTTCTAAATTTGACCACTTGCCTACCACATGACCCGCACTGGTGCCTACCCTAGAGAACCTCTTGCAAATGTGCTTTGAAAGGCATGTGAAAGAATGCCTCTCGCAGCCTTGTTCCTAAGAGCAAACAAATAGAAACGACCCAAATGTCTATTGACAAAAGAGTGGAGGAAAATTTGTCAATGTATGTTTAAATGATGGAGTATTTCACAGTTCCTTAAGTGACTGAACTTCAGTTATACTGAGCCAGGATAAGATCTCAAAACTATAATATGTAAGTGAAAAAGTTGTGCAGCTTAAACCATCAATAATATAATATTGTATGTCAACTGTAATTGAAATATAAAAAATTATTTTAAAAATAAGTAAAAAAACCTCAGCAAAGGAAATAACACAACATTTTGGTAAAGTTGGTGTTTTTTTTAAAGCAAAAAATAAATGTAGCCATCCGTAACACTGTGTGCAAAAGCAAAGGAACAGTGTTTTTGAATCGAGGTCAGTGGCTGCCCAGGAACCTAGAAGGTGGAATTGGGAAGGAAGACGTTTGATGGGGTCCGGAAGAGCATCAGCGCCCTTTTAACTATTCATTTCTGAATCTTTTATGATAAACATCTAATATTCATATTTGGAGAAAATGAAAAACATTTTAAAGAAAACAAAAAAGAGCTTTCCTCCTAGATTGTAAGTAGGTACACTTGGCCCTCACTCCACACTCCCTCTCGGTTGAGAATCCTCATTCTGTTTAAATTTCTGAAGAGCCGCGCTCTGGGGCGGGCAGGCAGCTGGAGTGGGCAGGAAGAGAGGGAAGGCAGGGCCTGCAACTCGTACACTCGCGCCAAGAGATATTTTGCAGTCATCTGAGAATCGCCAGTCAGATGAACAGACAAGGTCAGCATTATTCCTCACCCCCACCCCCTTTCCGTCATCGAACACATATCTTCTTAGGAGTGCTTCACATTGGTTTTGTAACCAATGCGTTCAGAGTTTGTAGTTTGTTAGAATTATAAAAAAGGAATGTAAAATATTCGTACCATAAGGCTGGCATCTCTCTTATACATTATTTATGGATATGTAAGTTACATGTTTTATATGCTTATGTAGACATAGATACATACACAAACATGTAACTGGGGAGAGATTATTCATTCAGAAGATGCCAGCTTTCTAAAAGTGATGTTGCTCTGTATTTGCAGGTCTCAAAACTGACCTGGATTGAGAAAAAAATGGCTGCTACTCTATTTGGAAAAATACCGTCCTCAACTGTACAAGAAGCTTTACAAAATTTCCTTAAGGTATGTGTTGTCTCTACATTTTTTGAGTGTCAAACCAGCTACTGTCTGCACCTGTCCTTCCTACCATTGCCAAGGAAATTCTCCTCTCCTCCACATGTAGATCTCTAATGGTTTGAATCCTGGTTCTGTTTTGAGCCTCTCATAATGTGAGTTATGTTTTGAATCTAAAGTACTTCTTACAACAACTAGTATGCCCTGGGTTTCAGGTACAACAGGCCTTACTACTAAATCCAAGAGCGACTCTCTGGGCCATGTGAATTTGTTTAAAAGAATTTATGCTCTGACTATGAGACTTGGTCCCAGATACTCCTGATTAGCCTAATATACGAACAGTTTAATGTTAAAGAACTAAAAGATACTAAAAGGAAGAGTTATTTTAAAAGCCATTCCATAAGTTGCAGGCAGTTCTGTGAAACATTTTAGGGGCATTAGAACAAATCAGTATTTTCATTTGTGTCTTAAAATGTATGATTGCTATGCTAACAAAACTCTGAGCGGAAATGTGTGTGTGCACACATGTAAGTGTGCAGTGTACCCACCCATACAACCAGCTTCCTGTTGTGTTAATCCCTTCACCTTTGTCTGGAACCAATTACAGAATTTTATAGATACTAAGGTATTTTTCCCCCACCTACAATTTCAGATTTGTAACAATATAGACAAAATCAAACTTTGACCTGTATTGTCCAACTTCTTGTACATGCTAATTGTTTTTTGTGGTATTTTAAGGATCGATTCTGTAAAACTGAGAGGGAATTTAGAGGTCACAGAGTCTCAAATGAGAAACAGGTTTCATTGCACTTTCCACCTCTGAACGGTGGCTGGTGGCTGACTAGAATGTTTGGGAAAAAGTAAGTCTTCTGACACCCTGGCCAGGTGATTCGGTTGGTTGGAGCATCATCCCGTACACCAAAAGTTTGCAGGTTTGATTCCAGGTCAGGGCACATACCTAGGTTGTGGGTTTGATCCCGGTTGGGGCGCGTATGGAGGCAACTGACCAATGTATCTCCCTCACATTAATGTTTCTCTCTCTCTCTCTCTTACTCTCTCTCTATTCCCCCCACCTTCCTCTCTCTCTAAAATCAATAAACATATCCTCGGGTGAGGGTTAAAAAGAAAAAATGTTTAAAGTGTCCCAAGATTAAGCATAAGCCCAGTGGAAAAGAGTGCTGAGAATAAAAGTACTAGGGCCACATGTTTTTTATTTTTCATTTAACATGATCTTTTTTGTTTGTTAAGGTATGTGTTGTCTCTACATTTTTTGAGTGTCAAAAGTGATTCCCTCATAAAGAGGGAATCAGGACTAGGAACTTAATTTTTCCCAGGGGCACACCATGGTAAATCAGAGATACGAGTGACGCCTAAGGCTGCGTCATCCCCATTTCTTCCCCCTTTGCTCTACCACTGAGAAGGGGTTCTCCCATTTTAAATTTTGTAAGATCATGATATGTTTCAGGTAAATGATTTACGTAAGTTTAGAAGAAGTGTCATTGGAACTTAACTCTTTTTTTCTAATTTATAATTGGGGTTCAGGTTGTCGGGACACTGTACAAAAGTTCTTAAGGTGCTAATGTACCTTTGATATACAAATGAAATCAAAAGTCGTAAGAGGCCCACTAATGTAGAGGTGAGTATGCAAACTCTGGAACCAGACCACCTGGTTAATTTCCAGTTCCACCACTCACTAGCTGATTAACATCAGGCAGGTAACTTAACCTCTCTGTCTCAATTTAATCAATAACATGAAGATAATAGTACCTGCCTCAGTTTTGTTGTGAAGATTAAGTAACTTAGTACAAGTGAGTTGCTTAGAGAGTGCCCAGCACCTGCAAAAAGCAGAATTTTTACTTCATTAAAATGTGAACACCTTGGCAGACCATCTTGGGGACCTCACCATGCAGTCACGACTTAACTTCTGACCAAAAATGTGTTCCATGGTCTGTGTTAAGAGAATGACGGCCATCAGGACTGCTCCACCCCGTATTTACTGCAGCAGCTGAGGGTGCTGAGGAGCTCAGAGTGCTGAGGGCTGAGGCAGTGGGGGGGCTAAGGAACAGGGGAGGTGGAGAGGAGGGGCAGGAAACAGACTCACCTTGGATCCCACACACCTTAGGAGAGTCACCCCCCGGAGGCCATGTTGTTGGATCCCAGATGTAGGGCTCCTGCCCTCCCTTTACTCCATCTCTCCAGAGAGCATTCACAGGGGCCACGAGTGTGTCCCCAGAGCCATCAGTCGGACCTGTAGAGATAAAGAGCACTGGCTTTAGAATTGGCCGGTTTGAAACCCAAGCCTTCCCTGTCTGTACCACCAAGGCTTGTTTCTGTATTTCTCCTCATCTTACATTCTTCACCCATACCTACTTGATGTGGTCTCTGTGAAGAGTGCACAGAATAACACATGTGATTTTCTTGGTCCGGGGTCTAGCACCCTAAGTGCTCTAACCAGTGAATGTTAGCTGCTCTTATTTAGCTCTTCTAACAGATGGAATCTTGTCCTCCACAGCCTCCGAGCACCCAGGGAGGTGGCTTCCGACCAAGAGCCATCTGTGAGCCCCCTGTCGTTTCTTTCTAACTATAGCGTCCTTCCCACCTCATCAAACATCCTGGCACTATTCCCTCAGGCACTGGTTCTCAACTTTGATTATATATTGGAATCATCTGGAAAACTTTAACAAACTGTCAGCTCAGGCCATAAAGCAGACTCATTATTTCAGAATTTCTGATTATATCAAAGTATAGTTTATACATAATAAAATGCACCCATGTAACTGTACAATTCAGTGAAGTATGATAACTTATACTCATGTAACTACCACTCTGAAAATATAGAATATTTTCATTTCCTGAGAGACTTATCCCTGCCCTTTTGCTGACATGGGAACTGTGACAGCATCCACTGACCTGCTTTCTGTCGCAGTAGGTTAGTTTCATGTGTTCTGAAAATCTGTATCAGTGGAATTGTAGCAGTTGTACTTTTGTGTGTACCTGGCTTCTTTGGCTCAGCATAATATGTTGATATTTATTTATTTTATTGGGAGTATCTGTAGTTCCTTTCTGTTTTGGGCAATATTCCATTATATGGATATACCACAATTTCTTTTATGTATGTATCTATTGATGGTTGTTTACATTATTTTTCATATGGGGCTGTTATGAATAAAGCTCCTGTGAACATGAGGATGGGTGTATGCGGTAGATGACAGGTGACAAGGCTGGGGGACAGGCCACCCTGATCTGCCCGCTGTTTGCAGTGATCCCCAGACCTCCCTTAGTGGTTTCACAAGCTGCAGAGCTTTCTTCTGCATGCTGATGTGATGGGGGGCTGCTGCTTGAGGTTATGAGATGTTTTAAAGCAAAAGTAATTTATTCAGCGATGTTTATTAAGACATACCTGGAACAAACAGAGTGTCAAATGTAGGGAACTCAGAAATGACCGACATAGCTCCTGGCTCCAAGGAATCAGACAGCCAAGACCAAGCAAACAACCACACTAGCCTTCGCCAGGTGTTTCACTGCAGAATATCCTAAGAGCCTAGCTGGAAACTGCCACTTAATTAGAACATTCTACTAAGTTGTTTGGTGTTCAGCGAAGGCCTGTGTTCCTTTGGGCTTTTTTTTTTTTTTAACCATGAGAGGAAAAAAAGAGATGTTCTGATTTAAAATCACTCTGGTAAATTAAACAGAGTGTGAAGGTATATATACAGAATTAAAATGCCAACATTAAAGAAACATAATCACACATGTATACAAGCATACAGGAATAAGTATGTTTACTCATCATTATTAGTAATAAGCTGCTTGTTTACATATTTTGGGACAAGTTATCCAGATAGAATTTGGACAGAGCTCGGTACAGTTACTGAACATGGAAGAACTTACAGTTGAACCAAGCTCGGTTTGTTCAATTGTTCAATAGGTTTCTCTTACTAGAATAGCTCAAGAGATGCACTTAGCAAACTCAGAGAGCTGAAATGGAAACAGTTGGACAAGACAGGAGAAGCAGGAGAACCAGAATCCGTCGGCGCTATGGATGGCTCTGCAGGACGTTCAGAGTTCTGGCTAGGACTGAACTGCAGCTTCTTCCAGTCTGTCGGCAGCCTTGCAGGTTCGAGGCCAGATCCACAGTTTATCTGCTGGGTCTTAAAGAGTTACACCCAGTCTGGCTCCCAAGAGATTATGCCCTTCCCCTTTCAAGACCCCTCCTTTTCAGATTCTGCAGAGAGTAGCTGTGCTTTACCAGAGACAGACTTGCTTAAGCTGTCAGAGTGCTCCTCAGCACGGGGTCTTGGGTTTCCCTCCAATGATATCCATCTTTAAAACAATGTAGCTTTGACTCAGAATTCAACTTCTAGGAGTCTCTCCTACAGACATAATCACACATGTACGCAAGCATGTAGGAGTAAGTATGTTCACTCATCCTTATTAGTATGTGCACAATAAGCCTAAATAAATGTCTAAGAAAATGCTTAATTTAATTATGTATAGTGTAAAATACAGCTCTTAGAAACAATGGAATAGATCTGTGTATGCTAACTTGAAAATGTGTCTGTAATATGTTGTGGAAAAGTGTTTTGGACCAATATGTAGAAAATGATCCCATTTTATTTTGTTAAACCAATTATCTTTTTTTGGGGGGAGTCTAGTCTTGGTAAAGGTGTGGTAGGATGCAGGATGCATGTCAAACTGTTGGTAGTGATTACCACTTGGGGAATGAGATGGAAATTCAGAATAAAATTAGAACAGAGAAACTTTTAGTTTTTAATATTGGAACTGTCTGGAATGTTTGCATTTTGTAAAACAGACATTTTTTATAAATTTTAAAAAGTATTCCTCTTCTCTTGGGCTCTGCATCTCTCTGGGGTGGAGACCAGGGCTGGGTTGGGAGCTTACTTGTGCAGGCCTTCATAAGCGCAAAAGCCGCCTCAGGCAAAGACTGTGTTAGGGTCTATGAAGAGCTCTCTGACCTCTGTAGCAGGCACCCGAAAGAATTCTTACTTACTGGAGATAAAGAGAAGGAACTGGTACGTAGGGATTAGCAGATGAGGGGTAAAGTACCCTCATAACTCCCACTGCTTCAACTCTGCAAGCAGGTCTCCTGCTTGGGCTGGTTGTGTCAAGGATCTGCCTTTTCTTTAGCAGTACCGGAGGTGGTGGACTTCAGACGTTATTCAACTCATACGAAAGATGTTGAGGTTAAAGAAATTAAACGTGAACGTGGTGGGAGATGCAGTCGTGGGGGAGCAGTCACGCCGCCCTCACTTCCTGAATGAGTTGTGACACGTACAAGACCTGTCTGGGTGCGGGAGGGCGGGGGAGTGGCAGTGTATCACCAGTTTTTTTCTGTTGTTGTTCTCTAAAGGAAAAAAGAGAAAGGATACAGAAGAGAAAGTGAGGAGACGGTTATACAAAAGAACCCCCAAACCTTAAAGTAGCTCATTGCTTTTTAAGCTTTATGACCATAGTCATAATTTCATTTTATTGGTCAAACTTAAAAGCTGTATTTGCATCCAAAGGATACTTTGATAAAAAGGACTCAGATGTGACACAAGCAGCCTAAATTCTTAGGTCAATTTGGTTAATATTTGATTTACTGAAACATGTCCTCTTCACTGGGTATTGTTGTTTTAATATCACCCTGTTTTTCTGTGTTCCCTTTTCCCTTAAAATCAGGTTGAAGATCTGTGCCCTGGTTTTTCTAAGATCAATTACATGTTCCTTGCCAAGGTAATGAAGATGGCTGTTTTAAGATAACTTTGAATCTATTACCTAAAATGAGATTACCTTTAACGTTGTTTATGCCCCATTTCTAGTGTTCTATGGACCTTAAGCAAACAGAGGATGCCGTGAAGTTCTGTGATCTGGCGATGCTGCTTCCCTCTGTTACCAGAGAGGTAAGTAAGCCCAGGCGGTGCCAATGGGGCCACTGTTACCCTAGCACTACTCCAGTGTCACATGTGAACAGTGCCTTACACACACCTGGAGCGCTCTCCCATACCAAAGCATCTTGACTTGGATCTCACGTGTACTGTGAAGTTCTAAAGATCGCTGTTGGTCACGCTTCGCCTGGAGACCACTTGGATCTTTCAGATGCTCACACACGATGCACTAGACGTTAAAACATCCTGATGCCCGTGAGGCGTTAGATAGCAGGTCACAGGACGAGCCCCACTAGGAAGGAGGAGGGACAGCAAGCAAGTTCAACAGGCTGCCTGCCTTACAACCAGAGGAGTGTCCATGGAGTTGCCACCATCGGTCCTCAGCTCACAGCGGGGTATCGCTATCCAAGGCCACACAGAAGACTGAAAATGTGTCTTTACGTTTTCTTGGTCCTGGAACACCTACCATTGGTGAAAAAGAAACTATTGCATGGATCCTTCTCTTTGGTTCACTAACTCAGAATTCTGGATGTGCTCTGAGTTTTAGAATTTCACAGTGTTAACAGCTCAGTCCACATTCTCGTGAGCCATTCACTTGTATTGTGAGAACAAGAGGAAATACATCAGTCACTAAACATCATCATCCTCTGAATCACAGCTGAAAAGAAATGCCTCAGAAATAAGCGCTCCTCTTCCTCTCTGCTGGAGTGATGCAGGCTCGGGCATTTGCTGGGATCTGGGGCATAAACATATACGACATGCCTCTTGCCCTCTGGGTGCTTACGGCCTAGAAGAGAACACACAGCGTATGTTCAGATAACTAAGCTCAGGGTGGAAAGCATGAGTGCCTGGGGAGATACAAATAACTGGTTATGGGAATATTGAAAAGGGAGAAATTACAGTTACCTGGAAGACATCAGGTGGCATCAGAGATGGAAAGATGTCATGCGAAGGTGTGGGCGGAAGCACATTGTCTGTCATGGACAAAGGCCCAGAGGTGGAAAAGCAAAGATTTGTTGACGGAGTGTTGGGGGCAGCCGTGGGAAATTAGGCTGAAAGGAGGAAGAGAAGCGAGGCCTGCCGGGAACTGCAGGGTTCAGGGATGCCTGTGGTTTCAAACACGGCTAATCGGGCTCCACTGGGCTCTTCAGCAGCTCCCGCTGCAGGTCTGGGACTGCTTATACGTTTGGGATTTCACACACGGCTGATTGTCCTTCTAACTGGGATCCCTTAGTTGGTTCCATTGGTTAATAGTGAAAAACAGCAGTTTCAGTAGCAACACTCCTTCTCCAGAAGACAAGCTGTGTGATTTGTTGAGCAAAACACAGATTTTTGTCCTGTTGGTCGCTTGCTCCATGTTGGTGATGGGACCCTACTGTCTTCTGAATGATGTCCATTTGGATTGCATGCAGTCATTTAAAACTGAGTGTCCATATTCTTGCTGAAATGTGAGATTAGCATACAGTATGATAATGAGGTACAATACCTCGTTTGACATTCAAATGTTTATGCGTGAAATGTAGAGCTCTCATAGGAGGGCTGCAAGCTGCCAGGTACTGACCAGCATCAGGTTTTGATCCTTGGTACCCAAGTCTCTCCACTTTCCTCCTCCCTGCCCTCCAAACCTACCTCCATGGCTTCAAATGCTTTCCACCTGCCAGGGGCCCTCAAATTTCAGTCTGTAGACCTCTCTCCTGAGCTCTAGGCCTGGTTCTCTAGTACCTTACTTGGCATCTCCACGTGAATGCCTTGCAGACGTCTCCAGCTTCTCTCGTCATCAGGCCTTTGCATCTGCTCTTCCTCCATCTTCTCCTTTCAGTAAATGGCTCCCCCATCTACTCACCTGGGAAAGTTGGGAATCATCCTTGACACCTCCTTCCTCTTCAGCCACTCAATCTAGACCTCTACCCCGTCACCACACTCTTGGAATTGCTCTTTTAAAACATGCCTTGGGCCATCCGACTGCTGCCACCCCACGCAGCACACCACGCGGGTCCTCCCATGGGTCTCCTCAAAGCTTGTGCCTCCGGCCCCGTCATTCTTGGTTTTCCACAGCAGCCAAAGCAACAGATTAAACCGAAACTTCAACATACCACTTCCCTGCTTTAAAATCTTTTGCTTTTAGGATGAAGTTCAAAAATTTTAACAAGCCCTTCAAGGGTCTGATCTAGCTCCTCCCGATCTCTGGAGTTTCTGATGTCCTCTGTGATGTCCCCTCCTCTGCACATGTTCTTCCCTCAGGACATGCTGTTCCCTCTTCCTGAAACACTCCCATCCGCCTGGGCTGCTCCCTTCACCAGCTCCGATCCTCCTCCTCCTGCAGGCCTTGCCCTGAGCACGCTTTCCTCAGGAGAGACTGCTCTGACACTCCCGGGCAAGCAAGCACCGTGTACTTTTCCTCCATTTAGCACAGTTGTGATTAAGTAGTTATTTGTGTGATTGTGTAGTAACCAGGTGCGTTTCATTCACCACTCTATTTCAAGGCCCAGTTCAGTGTCTGGGATATAATTAGGACTCAGTAAGTACTGGTGGGAAGAATCGAAAGACTAATACCATACAAATATAATAGTGCTAATAGCAATAATAAGCGGGACTAGTAATAAGTGTGACTAAGAAAGCTGGACACTGTGGAAATATTATGTTATACACAAAATAGCATTAATTTCTCACATTACTTTTTACTCCCCAGTGATGTTTCCATTTGTATTCCTAGCAGTTCTTTTTTGTCCCCCAAGTAGTAAATGTACTGCCAGGAGTATCTCAGTTCCTTAAAATTAAAAAATAGGATGAGGTGAGTTATCCGTAGTACCCCTATATCTATAAAATTTTTCCAGATTGATCTGTACTCCATTAGTGATTTGGCTGACCAGTCTATTTATTTCCAAAGCATCTAGCAGTGCCACTAACTAAAACGAAGGAAACACAGCCATTTATTCTTCTCTCCCTCGTGAGCTTGCAGAACATGTTTGCTCCTCTCCTGTGGCACTTGCAACTCTTCCTGGCATTGTGGTTATTTGTGAACTTGGCATCTGTCCCTGTCACGGTGCACATCACGCTGCACCGCCTGTTGGGGGTGTCAGCCCTTGGGCACTAGCGGGAGACACGTGTATGTGAGCAGCTCCCATTCTCAGGACTTGAAACTGCAGTATTCTGTTATTCGTGTGGAGTTTTCCCGACCCTGGGAAGGTGAGCTCGGGTCCCAGGAAACATTCCTTTTCTGAAATTAAAAAGGATTCCTGTGTCGAATGCAATGTGAGGATAATTGCCAAATAACACCGTGATTACACCAGCCCCCACTTAAATTGCTTGCCTGGAGGAAGCATTTGAGTTACTGACTTGGAGTACTCAGAGGAAGCTCAGATACACAAAGCATGGTGTGACACACACACATACACACTTACAGTGAGGGACGTGCTAACCTGGTAAAGAAAAAACTATTTAAAACTTGTAGTATTTTGAAGTGGTGCTAACTGCTTTTCTAAGATGAACTCTTAGAGGACAGATAGTAAAGACAATGTCCCAGAAGGAAGCACGGGAAGAAGTAGACTCTGGGAATGCTACAGGTAAAGAATGCCTGTTCACATGAGCAAGTGATACAGTTGTCTTCGCGGTTACGTGTTGTTTAAAGTCATGGACTACGTTTCCTACCTTTTAAGTAGACTAAGAATCTTCCTTGTCATTAGGAACTCCTTAGTGATGAAATCCTAACCCTGCTTTCAGCCTATCTAAATTATGTATCACAAACACAGGGATATCCCTTCTGCTGGTGGCTTGGGATACAATGAGGAAGAAACAAATACTTTCTCGTGGGGAAGGCAGGCACTGAACACCTAATAGCAATACAGTGTGGGGAGCGTTGTGGAAACGAAAGCACAGACATCTGCAGGAGATTACACCTGGGACTGCAGCCTGGGCCCGGGCTAGGGAGGGCCTTCCCGAGGTTTTGCTGTGTAACCTGAGATTCTAAGGAAATTAGAATTTTAACCCTGGGGTTCACATCATTAAGATTTGCTTGGAAGTAGAGGCTTATTAAAAATACAGATTCCTGGCCTTTTGCTGGAGAGAGAGACAGAGAGAGAAGCTCTGCAGAGCATGGGGGCACCAACCTCAATGTCGTGTGAGGCTGGACAACATCCTAGGGGTATAAGCTCTGAAAATCAGAGGAAGCTTCCTAGCTGGTTCAAGGAGGAGAGCTGTGGGGCAACGAAGATTTCCCCAAGGCCAGAGTCCGAGCAGGAAAGTCTTAAAAACCAAGACCTGACTTACACGTAGAAGACATGTAGGAAGGAGCCACCTAGTGTCGTGGTAAGATCCATGAGGGCGAACCTGTTCCTCCATGTTGGAATTGCCCTGTGAATCGGACGCGTAAGGCAGGATTTCAGCTTGAGGGCAGGGAACGAGTGCCATCTCAGCAGGAAGTTTTCGATGGTTTGATCCTGGGGAAGAAAGGCGTAACCTGAGCTCAAAACCGTAACTGAGTTCTTACAAGAGGACACTTGCATAAATATTGTCCCTATATGAAGTGCTTGAAACCTGATGAAGACCTCACAGGTCCTCGGATAGCTCTGCAGTTGACACGCTGCACAGGAGAGAAACACACCTGGTGAATGCCACCACTGTGGCAAAGACTCTAACTAGAGATGATCACCGAATGATCATCTTCGAGTCGATGTGTAGAAAATGAATCGATACATGGACATAGGAAACCTTTAATGGCCTCCCACTTCCTCCTCACTAGCAGAGATTTCACCCTGGAGAGGAGTTCTTTGAATAGGTTGGAAGTGGAGAGATACTCACAGCTCATCAGTGACTCGGCATGTGCTCACTGAAGCTGCAGAGAATACTACAGCAAACGACTGTGGGAAACCCTTCAGCCAGGGAACTACTGCTTGTTTGTGTCAGGGAGCCCACACAGGAGGGGAACACTGCAGAAGTGCCTCCAGTGACAATTCATCCTTCAAGTGGCGTGAGCGCATTCGCCCTGCAGAGAAACCCTACGAATGTCATCTCTGTAGGAAATAGCTGTTAGTGATGTTGTCCCGCCAGCCATCTTGACACAGGGCCCACTGGAGAGAAACCGTGTGACCATGATGTATGAGGAAGAACCTCAGCCTCATCTAGAACCACCAGAGGCACAGGTAGTTCACCCAGGGAGAGCCCTGCAGCCTTCAGCCAAAGCTCACACCTGGGTGTGCGCAGAAAACTTCGGGTGAGCCGGGGAGGAAAGCTGCAGGTCCTTACCAGGTGGAGGAAGCCACTTGGAAATACGGGGTAATTCATGTTGGAGAAGCAGTTCAGTGAAATAGACATGGGGGCCCTTCACTCACAGAGCGTCACTCCAGGACATGGGAGGGTTTTCACCACATGAAACTCTCGCCGTGTCATGGCCAAAGGGAGGTCTTCACATGCCTCAGTCGACCTGAGAGTTCTCATGCTTGGCAGTTCTCGGGCCTCATGTCCATGTAAAAACATCTTCATCTTGAGTTTATATAAGAACACTCAGGCTGGAAAAAATACTCTATCAGGAACCCTTTAGTACACAATTCAACATATAATTTACACTTTTGCCAAATGACATATTACTGAAAATACTGTAAAGATACAGAATTGTGATACATCCTTAGAAATGTTGAATCAGAATTCATTAAGACATCATAAGCAATGAGATAACCTCTCTCTGGTAGACTAATCAGTGTTGTTGATTACAAATCTAGTACATTGGTAGTGGTCTTCAATACCATGGAAAAGATCCAGAAACTTGCTAAGTGGAACCTTTCTCCTTTACTGTTTCAGTAGTCATCAGTTGACTAGTTTCTATTTTTATGCAACTTGAAGCATATTTACAAAGACTTTGTTTAATCAGGAAACAACATTTAATGTAACTGAAGAAATGCAGAACACGTAATGTGTTCTAATTATTATATTACTTTTGAAGTGCGTGTCTGGAATGGCAAGGGTGTATGGAAACATGGACACAAAAGACACACTTTGTAAGTGATTCAGATATCCTAGGGAATGCTCCTGTGAGTTAGGGTTAGCCTTTGTGTGTCTCCTAGTGTTCCTGTGTTCCAGCATCTAACCACTGATGTAGCAGACAGTTAGGGCCTCTAGGTGCCAGGCACTGAGCTGACCCTAGGGTAACAAAGATAAACACGAATCGTGGCTTTTTATGAGTTCTTTTAACTAATGTAGTAACACCCTAGATTCATTTGTTTCATTTTATCACAACCTTCAAAAAAATACTGATTTGATAGAAGGTAAATTTCTAGCTGATCTAACACTACAATTGAGTCAGTGTATTCATGTTTATGATTAAAGCTATTAAAGAATTTACAGTTTTTTTAAAAAAAAATCTAGGTAGCAGCTACTTGAAATATCTATTTTGTCCATTTTTTCTCATGTTTATTTTAAACTTAATACATTCCTTAAGTTCTTTCTGATAGGTGCTCAGTAAATGTTTGATAACTTCAAAAATGCATAAGATACCCTACCACCTGAATTTATTGCCACTCTTTCTAACTTACGCACTGTTGTTTTTTTTTTAAAAAAACAATACATGTAGAGTCCTATAAAACATATTATAGGACTAAATCTTATGTATAAAGCCCCTGATAAAGTCAATAATTGAAATGCGTATTTGTCTGTCTGGACCTTACAGTGGAATCTCAGATTTCTTCACAACCAGCTGCTAGGGCCAGGACTTCTCCCACGTCGCACAGTTGAAGAAGAAAAAAAAGTGTTTTCATTGACACACTCTCCTTCCTGTCTCCCACCACTCCGCACCTGGTGGGGGAAAGCCCGGACACAGCTCTCCACGGGACTCCCATTCTCAGAGACCTGAATCCACCCCCGACCCCGTCCTAAGAGATCCCCTGTTTCTTTGGTCTTTCAAAAAAGTCTTTCCTCAAGAAAATCTACTTCAAAGTACCTTGAGTATCAGGATGAATGTGTGAGTTTTCATTGTCGATTTGTGTTTTCTTCCTAGGATAAAGATGCAGAGGATGAGGTGAAAAAAATAAGCTCTACCTTGAAGAGGTAAATAAAAGAACATACTCGTCAATGAATCAGATGTGGGCTACTAAATTTTAAACTCATTAAAGTTGTGATTTTTGTTATCCTTTTCTCCCTGTATGGGTAATGTGCTCAGATTTGAAGGTGAAACCCCGTTTCTGCAGAGTGCATTCACTAGCCGCCCTACAAAACTAATCATGCTATTTGGAGAAGTCTTTTTCCTATAATGTCAGTACAAAATGTTCTTTAAACATGTATGCTTTATATTTTTCCTATCGATAAACTACCATACTCTTCAGAATATTTCTTTAAATAAAATACTTAAATCAATCCAATAAAATAAACTCAAGTGACTGTTTTATTTGTTTCGATGGAAACTTTTTTTTAAAGACTTTATTTATTTACTTTTCGAGAGGGAAGGGAGGGAGAAAGAGAGAGAGAGAGAAACATCAATGTGCGGTTGCTGGGGGTCATGGCCTACAACCCAGGCATGTACTCTGACTGGGAATTGAACCTGCGACACTTTTGGTTCGCAGCCCGTGAGCTATGCCAGCCAGGGCCTCGATGGAAACTTTAAAAACAAAATAATTTCATTAACGTGGAGGAAAAATAGAAAAATGTGCAAAGGATATGAACCAGTCATTGGTTAAAGAGGAAAAACAAAGGGGGAAATATATTGTAACTAGTAATCACAGAAACATGAGTAAAATTGAGAAGATACTGTTTTACCTTCAAATTAGCAAGGATTTTTTGTCTTTCAAGGAACCTTCAATGCTGGCAATGATGCCATGAAGCAGGACTTTCTCATACGCTGCTGGTAGGAGGGTATTTTGACACAAACATTCAGTAAAGTGTATCCAGAGCCTTAAATGTGTATTTTTAATCTTGTAATTTTATTTCATAGAAATAATCCTAAAGAGAAAAAGTAGATTTATCCACAAATGTTCATAACAGCATTATTTATTACAGCAAAACACTGTACTGTAATAAGAAAACAGTTAACCATATTAAAATAATAATAGAATATTATTATTATTATTTTATCCTCATCCAAGGACATATTTTCATTGCTTTTAGAAGAGAGGAAGGGACAGAGAGAGAGAAAGAAACATCGATTGGTAGCCTTCTCTTAACATGCTCTGACCAGGGATCGAACCTGCAACCTGGGTGTGTGTCCAGACTGGGAATCGAACTCGTGGCTCATCAGTCTATGGGATGATGCTCCAACCAACTGAGCCACACTGGCCAGGCCAATAGATACTATTTTGACATTACAAATAACTACGAAAGTGATGGAGCTCATGCTTGGATACTGTTTTGTCTTGTCCTCGCAGGTAGGATGCTCTATGCACTTGCCTGGGTCACTCCCCTACCTTCGTTCTTTGTCAGACTAGTTTTGTTTGTGTTTCCACATAAATTTCAGAATCAGGTTTTTTTTTTTAATTTCTACTGAAAAAATTCGCTTGGAGACTAACAGGGATTGTGTCGATCAGTTTGTCTCCTCCATTCAAAGAGATTGTGGGACTCCTGCAAGGACCCCTCTCTGTCCAGGGCCTGGAAACTCGCTCAGCGCAGTAATCTGGGACATCGGTGGGGCTCACCGTGTTTGTGACCTGTCTCTCAGGGTCACTGTCCTTCCTTTCTTGCTGTCCAGTATCTTGAAAATCATCCGTTTATGTGTTTTGTCCATGTTTTGAATTTCAAAAGACAGAAATTGTAACTCTGGGGAGTTGTAATCCTGCAATATGTTCAGTCCTATAAATCATTACTTCATATACATAGAGCAAACTCAAACATATTAAATTTCTTTTTTAAAGTTTGTGTAATGTTCAAATGTATTCATTCTACAAAATAAAGCAGGTTGAGTGAATGTACCATGAAATTAGTTATTCGATTGGACTTCAGTTAGTACTCAATTTTTGTTTGCTTTTAGCATTATTCTTAAGCTTTGCCAAATAAGTTTGCATATGAAGAATTAAGTTGTACCTTTCTGCCTTCTTGAATACTTCATATTTGCACATCCCAGCTAATTAACAATTGGGAGACCTGATTGACAAAGTAATCTGCTGGAAATTACAAGTGGAAATGGCATTGGCATTAGAAATTATTATTTTTTTAATAAAGATTTTATTTATTTTTAGAGAGAGGGGAAGGGAGGGAGAAAGAGAGGGGGAGAAACATCAATGTGTGGTTGCCTCTTGTACACCCCCCCACTGGGGACCTGGCCCGCAACCCAGGCATGTGCCTTGACTGGGAATTGAACTGGTGACCTGTTACTTCTCAGTCTGATGCTCAATCCACTGAGCCACACTAGCCAGGGCATTAGAAACTATCAATACCACATAACTGTGTGTCCAGCAGAGCCCAACTGGACAGCCACTCCCACTTACGCAGACTGGTCCCTTCATGGGATAGTGTCCAGAGCCCAACATTGTCCTAATTTTTCAAAGGTCCCAGTCCTGAAGATTTTCCAATCCAGCTACTAATTCGATCATTTATTTTGTCTCTGTTTGAAATGCATTTTATTTCCTTAGTGTTCTTCATTCCTAGAAACTCAGCATACTTAGCAGCTGTAATTAATTCAATGTTTACTGAGCTGATATTATGGAATCATCCAAGGGCTAATCCAAATTTGTGGGTCCTCGAGCTTAAATAATTGGAGGATTGTTAAGAAAAAGAACAGCCCTGACTGGTGTGGCTCAGTTGGTTGAACATCAACCCACAAAGAAGAAGGTCACTGGCTTGATTCCCAGTCAGGGCACATGCCTGGGTTTTGGGCCAGGTCCCTGGGTGGGGGTGTGTGAGAGGCAGCCTATTGATGTTTCTCTTACACATCAAGGTTTCCCTCCATCTCTCTCCTTCCCTTACTCTCTCTCTAAATAAATAAAATCTTGTAAAAAAGAAAAAAATTAAAAATTTCAATTACAAAATTAGGTATGAAAGAAACCATTTAGAACGAAAAAAAATCACAACAAATTATAAAATATGAAAGCCGATAAATCCCACAAATATTGCAAAATTTAGAAAAGTAATATATTATTTTTTAATTACGTGGCACACTTCTAGGATGCTTTCTTCCTACATTTTGCCACACACTCTTTGTTCATTTTGTCATATAGCTTTAATTTTTTTAACATCATTTTCTCTAGTGAGCATAGAGGATAGGAAAGTTGGTCTTTCCTCTAGCATGATGGATCGATGTTTATTTTTTATTCCTGATGGTTCTCGTTAGTCATGCTGCAGTGACCAAACTCTGGAGAACTCTCCAGCCCTTTGAGCACGTTGAGCGGGCCCCTGTGGCCCTGCCACCGCTGGGCCAGCCCTGCCCAGCTTTGGCACCTGCCCTGCCTTGAAGCCTAGGTCTTAGCCTTGAGCAGGGAGGGAGTCAGGCAACGCCTTATTCATACTTTCTCCTTGGAGTCAGTCAGGGTCTGAAGCCTGATGCAGGCCCCAGGATTGAGCTGTCACTGGGGCCAGTGGAGGTGGAGGTTAGAAGCCACCTGCTGAACCCACCGTAGGGTGCACGGGGGACCCTCAAGCCGGGCAGCTCCCCACGCCTCTTCCTGGGGCTGGGGATGTTCTTGTGTGGGGTGAGGGCAAGGAGCAGGAGGGGGATGGGCACACACCCATGCAAGTGAGGTCCCCGAGGGAGAGTAGACAATACCAGTATCTTGCCATCTTCTTCCAACTAACCACAGCCCAGAGGCCAAAGTCTTCAGCAGGGCTTTCCAGACACCCGACACTCCTGCGCCCCTACCCAGGCTGTCTTTCCAGAGTAGTCTCCACCTTGCCCTTACACACACACATCCGCACACACTGTATCATTCCTAACCGACGGAGTGGTGGTTGCTCCAGGCCTGCCTGGTGGTCTGCCTCTGGCTTGGGCTTTTCTGTGGCATAGGCCCACCTCCACCTTCCCGGGACCTACTTGTGGACGCCCCCCCCACTACAGGCCTGGCTCAAGTGACGGAATTCTGCCCAAAACCTTCCTGATGCACATGACTGGACATCCTCTCTCCCCTCTAAAATAGCAGGCACCTCCAGATCTTCAGCAAGCTGAGGAGGACAGCGGCCATCTGTTATGCCCCTTTCTGTCTCCCGTCCAGCCGCATATACTCAATCGACATGTTCATCTGAGTAAACCCACTCAAGAAAGAGAAACTCACTTCATAGATTCCCAAGTTTCCTGAAAGAGAAAACTGAGAGTCACTTCTCCCCTCCGATGTGATGTGCCAGGGAGAGAGCAGCGGGGAAGGGCGGGGGCGGCGGTTGGGGCGGGGGCAGAAAATGGAGAGGCCCAATATACCAGGAACCAGACAAGAGACAGTAAGTCGGAGGCGATGCCAAGACCAGCGCTTAAGGCTTCAAATTCGTGATACTCTCTTACTCCCTGAAACCGTTACAGACATGCATACGTTCTATTTCTTCTGTTTCTTTTTTTCTCGTTACTGCTACAGCCTTCATGAAATAGAACATAGACCACATACCAGGCTTTGTGGTGTTTCTATGACCCAGTTGCATTTTTTTCTCTGAAATTTTAATTTTTTCTCCATTTCTAGGCTTCAGTTTCCAGCCTGTTGTTTTGGCAATAAAGTAACTCCTACAATACCCCAGTGTGAAATTTAAAACTATTTGGAGCACTCTCAGCGGACTCTTCCCGACACCCCAGCAAGAGTGAGTGCGGGTCTTAGGGAATTCTTAGCCCCTGTGCTCACCGGGAAAGGAAAAGATGACGGAGCACGTTTATCGCTGGAGAGTCCAGGTCCTCCAACAAACACGTACATTGTGCTTGTAACATCTACAAAGTTTTCTTCTCACTGAAAAATAAGCCCTGCTTTATGCTGATATTAAACTTTTAATTTTTCAAAATGTTATCATATCTCTGGCTGGCGTAGCTCAGTGGATTGAGCGTGGGCTGGGAACCAAAGTGTCCCAGGTTCGATTCCCAGCCAGGGTACATTCCTAGGTTGCAGGCCATAACCCCCAGCAACCGCACATTGATGTTTCTCCCTCTCTCTCTCTCTCTCTCTCTCTCTCTCTCTCTCTCTCCCCTCCCTCCCTTCCCTCTCTAAAAATAAATAAATAAAATCTTTAAAAAAATGTTATCATATCTAATATTTACATGCTGAGACATGAAAGCCTTTTACATGCTGAGGCAGATTAAGAAAGTGGTGCCATCCTCATTTGCCGGTGGAGGACAAAAGGTTAGTTTTGCTGGAGGTCAAGGTCACATACCTAGTTAATGAGAGAACCGGAACTGGGCCCAGCTGTGCTGACTCGCGGCCAGGGCCAGCACAGCAAGCGAAGACCTGTCGGAGCCGTACAGCCAGTCTTAAACCGTTTA